ACAGGAGACAGAACTGGAAGTGGCAGAAATGAAGATGTTGAGGTTCTTCTTAGGAGAGACAAGGATGGAGAAGATCAGGAATGAGATCATCAGAGGTACAGCACAGGTTGAACAACTGGGAGATAAAGTTAGAGAGGACACACTGAGATGGTTTGGACATGTCCAGAGGAGGGACAGTGGTTTGGACATGTCCAGAGGAGGGACAGTGGTTTGGACATGTCCAGAGGAGGGACAGTGGGTATATTTGTAGAAGGATGTTAGAAATGCAGCTTTTTTGTTTGTTTGTTTTTGTTTGTTTGTTTGTGTCTGGCTGCACTGAGGTTGAAGAGGTACATCTGTGAAAACAAGCATTGTTCAGTAAGAAGCATGAGTCTGAACATACAGCTGTTGGTTCGCCACTTTAATTCATCCATTGAAACTTTAATTCATCCATTGAAACTTTAAATCATCCATTGAAACTTTAAATCATCCATTGAAACTTTAAATCATCCATTGAAACTTTAATTCATCCAGTGAAAGCAAAGCAAACATTTAAAAGCACAGAGCTGGTCTGATTTCACACACCGTGTTTTTCTCCAGATTTAAATGACGTGTTGAGGCGTAAACCAAACCGAAGGCAAACAGCGGCTTCAGACTGAACTTGTTTCTCATCATATAGAACTGTATAATTTTGTTAAGTATATGTTAAACTTTGTCTGTGCTCCATATCTAGAGCCAGATTACTACAGAATATCCTTGTTGTGCTTCAGTGTGGAGCTGCACTCAGACCAGAGGATAACTGGGATACGATGCGATGCCACAGTTGTTGCCTCGGTCTTTGGACATGCGGATGTAGCCTTCTTCCCCCCAGCTGGTCCCCCAGCTGCAACGAGACAAACAGTCAGAATCAATAAAGCTGGTTCTGTAATCTCAAGAAAAGTCAATTTTATCTGCTTGTTCATGTTGTCTGGAGCTAAAATCTAAAAACAACAAGACCAAGAAAAACAAAATCAAATAAACTGTAAAGGTTGCTGAGCATATGAAGCTTTTAGATTTGTTTGTCTAACAAATTTTACACACGTAGATGAAAAAAGCATGAAATATTTAAAATTTGAAATAGAAGTTGAGATGTTTCTTTCTTTTCAAGTTCTAACAAGTCAGGATTTGGACTGGCCTGTTCTTGACGATCCAGTAGTTAACTGGTGGTAAAGAGACGTAGCCCACAGCCAGCCCAGCGTGTGTCGGCCTCGTGACACAGCTTGGCTCATAGTAAATACCTGAAACAAAGAATCATGTTTAGTTGGGCACAAACAGGTCAGGAAATGATCTTCATGGTTAAAAGAGAGCAGAGCTGAACAAAATCTATAAACAAGAACAGGTCTGAAACCACTGAGTGGGACAAACGTCTTGGCTGAGGAGCTTCTGGTGTACTGAAGGACGTTCAGATCAGTTCTTCTCCGCTGGAACATTATAAGTTGCAGCCCTGCAGCCCTTATCTAAGAAACAAGAAACTAGTGACGGACACGTGAAGCCTCATGAAGCACTGAGGCTTTTCCAGTTGTGCCAAAAAGCTTCAAGGCTTCAGTGATGGAGACATGTAGTGGACATCAGGAGCCTCAACAACCTCACGAGCACAAGTGACTCTTTCAAACCTGTGTCAGCAAATAAAGTTTAGGAGATGGGTCAATTTATCATTTGTACAAAATGATGATAACATCTCATTTTCCATTAAAAAGTTTAATTAAAAGAAAGTTATTTAGCCACCTCAGAATCAGAATCAGAATAAACTTTATTATAATTGCACTGAGATACAATGAGGATATGTCCGTGAATGCAGTCGTCCGAAAGATGGGCTAGTGTTGTGATAGACAAAGCTTTTCCTTAGTTTACACATTTCCCAGGAGAAGTTTGATAACTCAGCCTGAGTTCGAGGCCAACCGGGGAGTCAGATTCAAATAAGCCACAATTGTTGATTTTTACAGGCAGACTATTTTTCTTGTCAGCCTTGAGTCATACTGGTATTTCCAAGATCCAAAATGGCCAGATTAGAGTGTATTCTACTGGTCCGTGCTCACGAGTCTCCTCCATGGTCGTTCCAACATGCTGGCGAGTCCCAAAGCCGCAGGTGGCCTGCGATTCAAATCACTTCCATCTTACGGTTTAGCTCGTAAATCAGCTGATTTTGAGTCCTCAAAGCACGAACCAAACCTTCACAAGCTGGCAGCCTGACGAGGTCCAAATTAGCTGCGGCCGTCTTCTTTGTATGTTGATAAACCAGGACCCAGACAATTCCAAAAACAGAAAGCTGTTATCATAAATCCAATATGCAATTTCTGCGTCCTCGATCCACAGCAGAGATACACACATCATTTTCCACTTCCCCCAGAGACATATCCAGCTACACACATGTCGACCGGGCAGACCTGAGGGTTCTCCAGGACCCTGTTGCTTTGCTGAAAAGATTTTGTCATTTGCGTCAAAAGGACAGTTGTCAGATCCATAACGGTAGTTTTCGTTTCAGAAGATGTGTAAAAACAGGAGCTCCGATGCACAGACAGAGAGCAACAAAGCTCATAGATGTACAACAAAGTTCTTTGTTAAAGAGTTATTGCAGAAAGACACTTACTGTCTACAGAGCGAACACCAATGAAGAATGTAATTTTGTAACCCATTTAAAAAAGGAAACACTATTCAGCAATTGAAACATAAACTATAGATCACTGGATGCTCTAGGATCAAATTTATACCAAATTTTTTGAATACCGTTTATTGAAAATCGCCAAACTATATTAAATTCACTTTATAAAATTCTATCTCCAACTTTTTAAAATAATGTTGCATCTTAAATAGCTTGTGTTGCACCAAACCACTGAAATCTGTAAAGCTGTGATTGACGCAGAATACGTTGAATCTTTCGGAGCCATTGAAGAGTGAAATGAAGCATCCATGACGTCCGACGTCGTTTGTCACGTGACGGTGGTGTTTTGCTACAAGCACGATGAATCACTCTGCTTCATGAAGAGAGACACGAGGTCCGAAGCCTCAGTATCATTTCATCACTAAGAGAAACTTCCTTGTGCCTCCTAGTCCTGGCTCTGTGGTTCCAACTCATGGACATCCAGTCTCCTTGTGCCTGCAAAGCAGAAGCCCTCTGTGGAACCCCCTCCTGGACCTCACCGGTCTCCTCGCTGTCAACCTTCAAACCTCTCTGAGTCTCTGAGTTCTGTCCTGACACTCTACAGCTCATTCTGCTCACCCTTCTCACCAAGTGCCATCCACCTGGGATCCTTCATTCTCCTCTCCAGGCCTGCCAAACAGAAGAAATCAAGAAATTCACTTTGGATACCATACAAAGTACTGCTCCTCCTAAAGATATTTACCTGCCTTCACTTCCCGTCCAGATCCTACCGAAACCCTTAAAATCACTTACCTTTACTTGAACGTGTCCGTCTCTCTCCTTCAGTCCAGACTACTCTGGGTACTAAAATATAATGATCATGACACAAAAAGCCTAATGTAAGGACAATTTGTGACATTTCATGTTTATGGAAAGCTACATAACAGATTAAAACTGGACTATTGTTGAACTCCAGATGTTCGTTGTTCTGGTCTCTGCACATCACATCATCAAACATTTTGCCTGGAAAATAACAAACCGAGCCACGTCAACTCGCAACTCCCCACTTCTCGTGTTAACAAAGTTTTCAAATCATAGTTTCACAGCAGCATCATAGAATTTCTGAAATTCTGTTCTGGCCTTTTGTGTCACCCCAAGATTTTCAATGGGCCCCACGAAAAGTTTTCTGAAGGCACCACGGTAAGATGTCAGAGTTCTGGTGTTCAAACTTGCATCCTTGCATTTCTATGCCAACGATACAGTTGTCGAGCTAAAACAGTTGTCAAGGTTTTCCAGCATTTCCAGTTTGCTGTTGATGTCATTCAGTCGGATTTGTTCCATCTCAAACTGGTGCTAAATGCTGATAAAGCCAAAGGAATGTTGTTTTCAAACAGGAAGTTGGTCCCAGCGGTCCTTCCTCCTATCTCATCTACGAATGGTGTTCCTATTGAGTTTTGGATTCTTACAAACACTTGGGAATCTTGGTCGATGCACGTCTCTCTTTTAAGCCTCGTGTCCAAAACTTGATAAGTTGAAATTAAAACTGGGTTTCTTTTTCAGAAATAGATCTTGCTTAACTCTGAATGCCAGAAAACGCCTTGTAGCTGCTACTATACCGGCCATTGACCGCGGTGACATTATTTACAAATGCTTCTGCCAGCATCTTGCAGATGGTGGGTGCTGGCTGCTATGGTGCGCTAACATTCATGACTGGTTTTTACTACTGCACCCGTCACTGCACCCTGTACTCTTCGGTCAGTTGGTCATCGTATGTAGGCTCTCACACGCGTTCATTTTCATTGGTAAATCACTTCTTGTTCTGTAACCTTCTTATATCTCCTCTTACATTTTACGTCGTCAGTGCAGTTACAGCGTGCGCTCTCAGGCCATCATTACCTGCAGTGTCCCCTCAGTGCGGACTGAACTTGACAAAAAGGCCTTTTATTACTCTGCTCCTGTTTCCTGCATCACCGTGCAAAAAACTTGAAGCTGCCCACTTCAACTTCTCTAAGGGATTTTAAACAGTTGTTATGTTCAATGGAAAAATCAACGCAAACATGTTCTTGTTTTTAGAATTTTACCTTGTTTTATAATGTAGCAATTTTATTTTGTTTTATAACACTATTTGAATTTACTTTATTTCATATGCATTTTATGGCTGTTTATTGTTGTCTGTACCTTCATGGTTTGTCTAGAACAGGTCTCTCTTGAAAACGAGTCCTCGTGACTCAACGAGACTAACCTGAATAAATGAAGGTTGAATGAATGAAAATGAAATAAAAAAATAAACCTACCACTGCTGTAAAAACGGAACGAGTCATGACTAGCATCAAAAGCAACAGAAATTGGTCCCACTGTGGCCACAGCATTCATCAGTTCTGACTCGTTACCGCTGAGGATGTTCACTATCCCGTTGACCTGGATAGCGTTGTACATTGGGCTGTAGCGGCACGGCTGGACCTGGACGTCAAACAGAAGAAAGTACAAAAATAAATTAATTAATTAATTAATTGACCTCTGGAACAGCTTTTGTATCAATAACTTTATTGATAAGGGTTTAAAGCTTTGTAAGTAGATTTTTTTTTTACTCCAGCATTACGTACTGTTCCCACGTATGGATAGTATGCTTCAGAGTCCAGACCCCCATTGTTCATAACATACTTGAAGGCATTATTCATCCAGCCACCATAACAGCCATAATTGCCCTCAGGTCCTGAACAGTCCATCAGGTTCTGTTCGCTCAGTGGCACCAGCTTCCCGGTCTTTTTGAACAGCTGGCCCTCCATAGCTCCAGTGGCGCTGAAAGCCCAACAGGAACCACAGGAACCCTAAAACAAAGTGGAGAAAAAAACATCTGAGACTAAAAGAGAAGACGTGAATGATCAACTGAAGAAATGCAAGGGTGCTGAGGGAAAGCAATAAATAATTTCAAGGAAAGAAACGACTAACAAAAACAGAGAACATCCATCCATCCAACCTTTACCCACTTTTTCCTTATCAGGTCATGGGGGTCAATGGAGCTCATATCAAACAACCATTCACTCTCTCTCTCTCTCACCTAGGGACAATTTAGAGTTACCAGTCAGTCTAACATGCATGTTTTTGGTCTGTGGGAGGAAACTGGAGTACCTGGAGAAAACCCACGTAGCACGGAGAGAACATGCAAACTCAACACAGAAAGGTCCCGGCCAGGATTTGATCAGCCAAAGGTTGAATTAAACACATTAATTCATAACACAAACTATAAAAAACAATAAAATACCTGAGATCCTGACAGTACCACCCCTCTAAAGGACATTACCCAAAGTCCCACAAAAAATGGTACTGAATTAAGTTTTCCACCTTCTCTCTTTGATGAGGGTTGAAGCCAGCATGTTTATGGAAGCCAACAGATCTTTTTGGAGCTTAGGGATTTAAGCCCCGCCTACTCCCTCACACACAATCATGGTGCCACATGACCTTTCTTTTAGGCATGAAATAAACAATTACAGTAGTCCCTTGTTTATCGCAGGGGATCCGTACCCTGAAGGCCCACGATAAGTGAAAACCACGAAGTAGGTCTAGTAGTATATATATATAAATACTATAATATAATAATAATATAAATAATATATTAAGGTGTTTTAAACCCTCCCCACACTCTTGCAATATTTTAAACCATGTTTCTAAACTCTAATCGCTCTAAAAGAGCACAGCATGTCATGAACTCAACTCTCAGCCACTGCACTCTGCGCTCTTGGCCACGCCCACTTCTCCTCTACAGAAGGAGATCACAGAGGAGGAAGGAGGAGCTACAGGAAGTTTCTCCTGCAGTGTGGGCTGCACACAGTGCAGCACGTGTTAAATAATTTAAAATAATCCATTGTAAATAAAAAGTCCATGCCGATCGTGCAGCTCATCCATCAATTAGCCAAATGTGTTATGTCCAATCTTATTTTGAAAAATTGCGATAGAGCGAGTCCACGAAAAACGAGCCGCAAAGTAAAGCGGGACTACTGTACTGCCGAACACGTTGGACAAATGGATCTTTGAACAAACAGCAGTGAGGGAGGAACTACTGCAGTTACCAATAGTCAACACTTAAAAACATTATTTGAAGTGTTTCGATTTAGTTTGTAGCTGCTAAAGACACATAAAACACACAATAAATGAAAAAGAAACGTGTTGGTACCTGGTATTTAACAGGTGTAACGTAGTATTTTGTTCTCCAGTCCACACTGGGAGGGGCCTTCAGGAAATTAGGCTTCATGAACAGGGAAGCGTTTCTGTCTTCACGAGGTCTGTAGCAGGTCATGATCTGTCTGAACTCCTCGTTGGTCTGTGGAAGGAGCACTCAGTTGTTTACGGTCAGCCTGTCTCATTTCACCCTAACTGAACTCAGCTGTGCTCTGACAGTTTGTCACATTTTGACTGATGTGCCACTTCATCAGTAAGTTTAGCTTCTTGGTCTTTGTTATGACCCAGGTCTGTAGACTCACCATGTCTCCAAAGTGGTTCATCCCCAGGCGGTAGGTGTGTTTGCCCATGGAGTGCTCCAGGTTGTGCAGCTCGATCATCCTCAGGTTCTTCTCCCACACCCCCCTCCTCCAGACCTCCTCTTTCTAAAGAAAGAGGTTTTACATTCAGCATGATAAACAATAGGTTGTGCATTGGGTTTTCATGGTGACCAAGCATTTTATAACTTTTATACACAAATCTGAGTTGTGATAGGACTGTTTCTTTACTCCAGTTTCTTCTGGCATTGCTCCTACTTTTTTCTGGATTTACGTAATAGAACTGCCGGTCATTCTTTTCCTCTTACTTTTCCTTTTGACATTTTCTGTAATGACTGTTTGATTTAATATAACAACAGTTTGTGGAAAGGTTTTGTTTTCCCATCATCACCATCGTGTTGATCCTTAACAGCCTAAGAAGTCCTCCTCCTCTGCCTCCTGCTACTACTACTACCACTACTACTACCACTACTACTACTACTACTACTACTACTACTACTACTACTACTACTACTACTACTGCTACTACCACTACTACTACTACTACTACTACTACTACTACTACTACTACTACTACTACTACTACTACTACTACTACTACCACTACTACTACTACTACTATGCTTACTACTAATCTTGCTGCACTACTTTTATACTACTTCTACTCCTGCTGCTATGACTAGTACTATACTACTATTATACCATGTAGTGTCATATGTCAGGATTCTGACTATTTTTGTGAATCATCTTACTTCGTTAACCAAAGATGTGTCCACAAACATCTTCACTGTTTTCTTCCCAACCTGATGTAGTGAACTGTTTTCCCTAATTCAATCACCAGGTCTGGAGAGTAACAAAGAAAACATCTGCCAGTGTTATTTCAGGATACTAGTTATATACAGTTGTTTCAGTATTATCAGGAAAGACGCCACAGGTACTGGATGTTGACTGGTTACTTTGACAAACTCTCAGCAGACGTCCTGTGCCAAGGAATGAGCCACAAGAAGATGATTGTTGCTGATATGCAGGGGCGTACTGGGACAATAATGCAGGCCGGGAATTTGATATCATCCCAGGCAGGCCACCAGCACCCGATTAATGCAAATCACCAAGTCTGAGTTAAGTCAAACATAGTCCCTCAGCAGGCACTGACCGGGCCAGGCCACCGGGCCAGGCCAACGGGCCAGGCCAACGGGCCAGGCCAACGGGCCAGGCCA